AATATTTGAAGCTTTGCTACTTACTAAAATATTTCTAAAGCAACTAGTTGCTATCAAGTTACCTCTTAAATCATATTCTTTTGACAACACTTACATTGTTTACTATAAATACTGAATTTTTTAGAGGAGTTCTTGGTTTTTTAGTTCAGTGTGCAGTTCCTTCAGTAAAGGAATTTAACTATTTTACCTTTAGTATTAAATTTTGTCCTGTACTTTTTGTTTGCATCCCTATTCTGCTTTTTTGCATTTTATTGTGGTTAATCAAGTTTTCTTATGTATTTTCTCCCCATACATTGAAAGCTATATATTGTAGACATAATCTTCTCGTTATTGTTCTTAAATTTAGGTAATTAGGGGGAAAAATGAGTCAGCCAATAATTCTATTCTTTATAAGATTAAAATTTTTTAAGCTTTTATTTCTTCTTCCTTTATTTCAATGTCAATGTAACCAGAACTTGTAAGTTAATGGACAAAAAAGATGTAAACATCTATTCATGGTAGTGTTCTTGTTTTACCTTTCAGTTAGAAAAATGGCCATGATTTTAGATACGGCTTGCATTTTTAAACAAATTTATATTTTCAAAGCAATATTATAAAAATTGCATAAACCAGGAGGGAACAGTAAGGACCTCTCACGTGCTACCTCTTTGTTTTTATTAGATTGAGGAACTTCAGCAGGCTTTAAGAGTAAAACAAAATGAAGAGCAAGACCGGCAGAGGAGAATAAATAATACCCGCAAGATGATAGAAGATTTGCAGAATGAACTGAAAAACACAGAAAACTCTGAGAATCTTCAGCCCCAGATTGATGCTATCACAAATGATCTGAGACAAGTTCAAGATGAAAAGGCATCGTGTGAAGGCGAGATAATTGATAAACGAAGAGAGAGGGAGACTCTAGAGAAGGAGCAAAAGAGTAAGTTTTAGTAAACTTTGTATGAAGAGAAGTTTATAAAGTGGAGGTACATCTCTGATGCGAGTTCACCCACAGTATCATTTCTGGAAAATATTCACATCTCTTTGTTGAAGAAGCTCAATTTACATTTTCCAACTGAATCTTCAGTGCCTGCATCTCTTTGTACCTACTACCTGTAGAGCCCTGGTGGCCTAATCCGAACGCCATGCTTCTGACAGTTTGGATCTGCTCCTTTGGGAGAAGGATGGCCACTCTCTCGGTAGATGGGAAATCTACTAGAGGGTCAGCTCAGACTTGACAGCAAGGAGAAAGACATTGTCTTAGGTCCTAATTACAATTGAAGTAATTCTCTTCAAATGCTTGGCTTTCTTTAAGTTATTCACTGATAATTCTGAGGTCAACTCTTTTTATTCTAGCTTTCATAGCTTTCTATTATTTTTCTTCCTTGAAACCAGTCCTGTTTAATCTTTTCTTTCCTGTAGATCACGTGGCTAAGTCTGTACATTATTCACATAGAGGAGACCTTGCTCACCCATTCTTCATTTTTTCCTATGGTTGAGTTCCAAAGACCAAGTTAGTGTGGCAAAGTTTGGCATTAAGGAGAATGGAGGATAACTCTTATTTTTGTATAATTACCACACCACTGAAAATCATTGCCCCACATGTTTGTTTGGTTTTGTTTTTTGGGGTTTTTTTCCCCCACATGTTTATACATACCCTTAACCATCTTGCTTTATGTCTTGTGTACTGTAGAGTCAGAACTAATCAATAACTGACTTTCTGGTGGGTTTTCAGAGGCACTGAATCACATGGGAGGAGCTTGCCTATCCTTCTCCCAAGGAGCACCTGGTGGATTTGAACCATGTGCCTTCAGGATTTCATTGTATCTTCTTGCACCAGAACTTAGCACTATAATGTTCAGATGTAAAGTATTGATATGCAAAATAGTTGAATGATAAACTTATTATTGTCCTAAATGTGAAATAACAAGTGATGAGATAGTTAATAAGTGAAGAGTACATGTGTTGTATCAGTTAAATACGTACAATTAAGATCTGTAACAGGAGACCTGGTGAGGTGGTTGATGGAGCTCTTGACTGCAAACTGAAAGGTAGTTTGTTTGAACCCACCCACTGGCTCCTTTATATTTATGTCAAAGTCCTATGTAAATAAAATTTAAAAAAATAAAAACTAGAAGACTCACTTTCACTTTTAAAATGAGCCATTTTTCCCAATACCTCTTTCTTAATATTATGGCATTGTTAAGCTATCAATTTTAGACATTGCATTTTCATATATTTTGATAGTAGATATTAACTTTCAGGTCATAGCAACTCTCCTCCTTGTATTTAAATTTCTCAAGTGGAATTACTGTATTTTTAATAACTAATACTTAACATTTATCAATATTGATTTGCTATAGGTAATAAACACTTTGTAGTAATCTGTGGTGAGTTGCACTTTTAACCCGAAGGTCACACACCTCACTAGCAGTGTGATGCCACTGGCAGCTCTTTGGGAGAAAAATGGGCACTCTCCTTCCAGGAGATTTACAGCCTTCAAACCCTAAGAATTGATTCAGACTCAAGTGCAGTGAGTTTTCTGGTTATATAGATTTCTCAGTATTGCTTGAAAGGACACTGTAAATGTAAAGTTTTGGCATTCCCATTCTTTCTTTTTACCTTCTTTTCTTCCCATATTCTAAATTCTTCATCTTTACTATAATTTTTATATTTTCAAGGCTGAAAATGTTTTGTGTTTGTATTGTAAATAAATTTGAAAGTCTTAATGAAATTGTATGTGCTATACTGAGGTGTTAGTTCCAAAATCCAGAAGTACCAAGTATTGAATATGTTACTATAATGAAACTTATTCATAGCATGGATTTATAGTATGATTAAATTTCTTTTTATTGACAGTTTCTGAAAATACTTTAATAGACCATTTCCTTTATTATTTTCTTTTGGAAAATAAAATAGCTAAGAAGGCATTCTCTAATAAACTACCTGTCTACCAGGAGTTCTGAAGCCTTCAGCTCAGCTGCTTGTTCTCCAGGCTGTTGTCTGATAGACCTTTCCAGGCTCATTCACAGCTTTGATTAAACTATCCTCACATGCAGCGTCTTTGGTTTTTTTCAATAGTCTATTTGTTTTGATTCTGTTTTTTGGGTTTTGCCTACTAAGACATATTTGGGGATTAATTTTAGAGTTCTTAACATCCCTGAAAATACATTTATTTCATTATCCTTTTAATCTTGGTTTTTGTTTTACATATACTTCTGTGCTGGAAATAAAATTTTCTCTTACATTTTGAAGGTCTGCCACCATTGTTTTCTGGTAATGTAGTACTTTTTCATCCTTTTGTAGTTTTCAAGTAGTTGAAGAATCTTGTGGATGAGTATTAGGAAATTTTACATTGTTCTGTTCAAAATACATACTTTTTTAAAAATCCTGCATGCTTGATGAGTTGCCTTTGTAATCTTCAGGTTTAAGATAGCCTTTTGTATAATTAACAGATTGAGTCACTACTTAAGATTTTCAAAGAAACTTTGTTTTCCAATTTTAGGCATACAAGGTCATATTATTCGTTTTGACAATCTTATGAATCTAAAAGAAGAAAAGCTGAGACAGAAACACCGTGACACATACGATGCTGTTTTATGGCTAAGAAAGAACAGAGATAAATTTAAGCAAAGAGTCTGTGAACCCATAATGCTCACGGTAATTAATTTCATTCATCTTGGTAACAACTATTTATTTCATTAATGCAATCATTGTAAATTTTTGTTATAAGATCTTATTCTTTTGTCTTCCTAAGGAGTTCTGGTGTCATATAGTGTCATACGGTATCATAAATAGTCCTATAGTGTCATATATAGTCATATAGTAGTTCAGATTTATCAGCCACTTTGTGGGAACAGACTGTCTCCTCCAGTTAAGATGTACAGCCTTAGAAACCCAATGTGACGGTTGCCATTGAGTTGAAATTGACTCAGAGGCAGTGGTTTGATTTGGTTTTTGTTTCTTACCTCCCCACAAACTCTAGAGGCAGGTGTGCTGGTGTAGTTCATAGCAACTTGAGCTGTTAACCCAGAGGCTGTTCTTGTCCAGCAGTTTGAATCTGCTGTCAGCTTTAAGGGAGAAAGATGAACAGTCTCCTCCCATTGTGATTTATAGCCTCAGAAACCCAGTAGAGAGTCCTTGTGAGTTGGAACCAGTTGGACATTGTTGTTCTTGTTAGTCATCAAATTGACTGACTCTTAGTGATCCTGTGAAGAAGATATCTGAACCTTGCTCTATTCCTGTGCCGTCCTCATGATCTCTGAGAAGCAAGTGCCCATTGTTAGAGTAACTGTAAATCTATCCTTGTTAAAAGATTTTAAAGATGGGTTCCTCACAGTACTGTTTATAATAGCAGAATGGTAGGGCAAAGAACATAATTTTCCAAAGGAGCCCTGGTGGTGCAGTCAGGGTGTGGTGCTGCTGATCCCAAGGTCGCATTTCTCTGTTGGTTTGGATCCACTGGTGGCTCCGCAAGAGAAAGATGAGCAATCTCTTGCTGTTTGATTTATAGTCTCAGAAACCCAAGAGAGTTAGTTCCCGTTAGATGTCAGTAAGAGAGACTATTTAGGCAAGCAAATCATTCTGTGTCCTTACATTGGAATGCTGGACAGAATTTAAAATGTCTTTATCCACTAATACAAAGACATTGACAACACTCATTTTATATTGAATTAGAAAACAGGTGATCGAATAAGGCATAGAGAAAAATGTCATTTTAAAAAATTGTGAAAGAGCAGGTTGACACCAACCAGAGAATCTTAGATGCTCCACTTCCCATGTCTCCCTCTCTGTCTCGTATGCTCCAGCGGTAAAACTGGCTGTGAAGAACTTTGCCAAGTATTTTCCGTCCCCAGTCTCATGAGGTTAAGAGTACGCGCTAAGAAACTGATAAAGCTGCAGAACCAAAAGGGTGCTAAGTCTTCCTGCAGCCTTTCCAGAGTGCACATTGTCAGGACCGGGAGAGTCAGTCACTGCTGGAAATGGACAGACTGGCCACCGATAAAAAGGAATCCCATTATGTGATTTCCTTGACATACATTACCTGAATGAGCGGGTAAAAAATCATCAAACAATTGGAAGGCCATAGGACCATTTTGTACTAGAGGGAGCCCCTGGAATTAGAAATTGCAGATTATCACTGATAAGTACGCCATAGGAGGCAGTGACAGTGAGGGCTAAGTTGTGTGCTGTCATATCTGTAGTTAATAAATAAGAAAGAGGACTTCACATGGTCACATTAAGGTTAACTTTTAACCTTTCTATAGATCTCTTGTACCAAATATCTACTTAATCTTTTATTTGCCAATTTATACCATTCTTTTTATTAAAATTCTTTGGCACCAAAAACAAAATTGTGAGACAATTGATACTATATATTCAGAGTGTTTCTAAGTAATAGTATTTTATGTATTTTGCTTGTATATTTTCCATTTTTTAAATGAATGATATAGAAATATTAGCCAGCAGAACTCTTTTATACCACACTTAACTTCTTTCAAGTACACCACATTTTCTCATATCCATTTTATAAATCAAATTATTAAGTGCCGAGACTTAAGGACTTGAGAGTGACACATAAGACTTGAAGCAGCATCTCTCTGCTCCTAAACTCTAGTTCCTGAGTCGTGTACTGCAACTGTATGTGTAGGACGCACATGCCACCTCTTTTATAAATCTTTATGGTAAAAGTATGTGCCAGAAGTACTTAATAATCAAACAACTGCTGGAACATTATCTTCCCCTGCTTCTTAACATACCTACATATTTGCATTTAAGAATAGATTATACTCTTCTTGATCTTTCTTAGTATTTTTCTGACCTATCTTAACAATCTTACAGCATTAAACTTTATATGCAGAGTTTCCTAATTAGTTAATACTTTTTAAGTATTAAGCCGTTAAGCTGTAACATGTCCTTCCTTACCAACATCCCCCCAATTAGTTTCATTCCATTTTTTTAATATTTTTGTGCATATCAGTGGTGACTGCGATTGCAGACTTGAGCGTGGTTTAAGTTGTGACTATGGGATGCAGTTGAGCAGGATTGTAATCTCTTGTTAAAAGGATTGCTGTAAGATGGAGACTACTCCAAAGCACCTCACAACAAATTGTCTATTACTCATTTCCAGACACACTATGAAGTCTTCAAGATTAAGGAGAAAACATCTAAGTTTGGGATAGATGAGAAATTTTCGTGCTGCTTGGCTGCAGTCTAAAAGAGTTTCAGTCATTTTCAGTGAATTAACTGAAAAGGAGCTCACTTATTTCTTAACACACAAAACAGTAGTTGCCTCTAGACCTCAGTTTGCATCCCTGTCAGTGGGGTCAGAGTGAACTTAGGGTGTCAAGTGGAAGTGCACGCCAATTAGTTTTATTTGGCTAAACTACTGGGCCTTTCCTCTGTGATGCCCAGGACACTCACCCATGAGCCAGAGAGTTGATTATGACTCAGGTGGACCTGGTCCATGTCAGCGTAGAGCTGTCCCCTTGCGTATCAGATGATTTGTGCTTTGCCTTTGGTTTAACTGTATATGGGATGTTTCTGAGTAAATTATATTGAGATGTTTTAAAACAACCCTTGTATAACACTCTTTTATCTTTTTGTCATTTTCTCACATATTAAATTTAATACTATAAATTCTGTGCTTCATGAAAATCAGTTTTTTCTTTTTTTTAAGATTAATATGAAGGATAATAGAAATGCCAAATATATTGAAAATCATATTCCATCAAATGATTTGAGAGCCTTTGTATTTGAAAGCCAAGAAGACATGGAAGTTTTCCTCAAAGAGGCAAGTATTAGCTAATTATACTTTCATCTAGTACTTAACTTTTAGTGCTTAAGTGTATAATGCCATTAAAACAAAATGTGATTAAAAAAAACCCTAAAAGCAGTTAACTTTTAAATCATTCCATTTTGATTATTTCTTTCACACTTACTCCATTGTTAAAAAATTACTTTGCTTTACTGGAGGAAGAGATAGCCCATAATTTGCCACAATTTTAAAATTAGCATGTTGGATTCATTTGAAGGATAATTCTGTTATATGCTTTTAAGGGAAAGAAGTATGGTAGACATCCTTTCTGGTAATGTCTTGACATAAACTTAGTTTTTATTTGGTGGAGTAATCACTGTGTTATTGTGGCTTTTTAATATAAGTAAAATTTCTGTGAAAAGAGAATTCTGTATCTAGTCAGAATACAGTGTGGACAGAATGTAAACCACTGGAATACAGAATGACTTAATTAATAGTTGAAGAACAAGTGCTGTAGCCAGACTGGTGGTGGTTGTTGTGTACTATCAAGTAGGACCTGATCCATAGCTGACCCGTCTGGTAGGTTTTCGAAGGCAGTTAATCACAGTGGAGGAGATTGCCTGTCATTTTTTCTGTGGAACACCTGGTGAATTCAAACTACATGCCTTTGGGATTGCAGTGCAGCTTCTTGCAACTAGGCCATCAGTGCTCAGCCAGGCTCATTAAAACTTTCTTTTGTTTTTGGCTCAAATGACTGAGCAATACCCAACAACAACTTCCTGGACCACGTTGCCTGAATGCTTTGTACCTCGGATTTTTGTTTATAAAATGGGTCTAATATTATCTACTTTAGAAGATGGTAGTTGTCAGAACCAACTCATAGCTGACCCTCCAGAGGGTTTTTTGGTGGCTGTAAATTACGCAGGAAGAGATTGCCCAACTTCCACAGAGCAGCTGGTAGTTTCAAACGGCCTGCCTTTGTGTTGAGGGCAAAACTCCTTACCCACTAGGCAACCAGAGCTTTCTTCTTAAGGTAGTTAGGAGGATCCATTCATTGATGGAAAATATTTTACAGTATGCTTATTAGCTGTTATTCTTAAATTGCTTGTAAGATTTATTTTCTGTGTGTGTTCGTAGGTTTTTTGTTGTTGTTATGGTTTGGTTTGTTTGTTTCTTTAAAACCCATAAAGGTTAAGATGCAGGTTTTATTTGGTTTAAAGAAGTAACTTTCAATGAGAACAGGGCTCTGAATCAGCTCAGGCCATCTTCTCCTTACTCTGATAAATGAGTGTTTAGAAAGAACCCTTGCTTTCTTTGGCTTTCTGTTTTCCTTACTTTTGGTTTGGAGGTTAATGTTAGGAAGATTTAATACATTCCCACTTCTCTGTTCACTCTAACTTCAACTGCCCATACAGCATTGTTCTGTACCTGGCTGTTATTTATTGTTATTATTGTGGTTGCCTGCGCCACATATAGCCACCCCATGTAGAACAGCCCTAAACCCTGTCTTATCCCATGCTAGTCTGTCTCTCACACACCTACCCCCATTAACCCAGTCCCTGAGTCAATCCATCTCATAAAAGGTCTTCCTCTCCTGTGCTGTCCCTCCACCCTCCCAAGCATGACTTCCCTCTCCAAGGACTGGTCCTGCCTTGGAACATGTTCAGAGTATGTCAGACGAAGCCTCAGAATCCTTGCCTCCAAGGAGCAGCCTGGTTTAATCTTCTATAGGATGAACCTGTTCATTAGCAGTCCATGGTATTTTCAATACTTTTCTCCAACACCACAGCTCACTACTTAGTCTAAATCTGATCTCACTGTCCTTCAGAAACCAAGTCAGCTCAGGGCCTCAGATGCAGCTGCAAGCCTGAGAGGCCTGGGTTTCCTCTCACTTTTGACCTGCTGGCTAAAAATTTGAAGTTCCATTTACCTCTTCAGGACAATAGCCATAGCTCAGGGATCCCTAGCTGCCTCTTAACCCCTTTGCCCCTTACACTTCTGATGTACTGGCTCTTATTTTTTCAAGTCAGTCATTTGCCAGGAAGAATCCTGTAGCTCATGAAAAAAAGTGTTAATATTTCAAATTGCAGTTTATTCTAAAGAGTACAAAGCCGAGTCTGCATGGGAGATACCTTAGAGTAGGGTATGGGAGGGATTCCTGTATGACACTCTGCATCTCCAAGGTTCAGCATTCAGAGCTTTTATCTCTTCTTGTAGTGCCAGCTCCACCTCCTCTCTCCTGAGGTTGGTCAACTCAGTGCGTCTGTCTGGCCTGGCCAGCCCTCACCCCAGGGTCACGTTACCTGACTGGCATGACCAGTGTACTAAGTGTGGTCTAAGGTTCTTCTTCTTCTTTTTTTTTTTTTTAAATTAATTTTAATGAAAGTTTACAGAGACTTTGGATTTCCATTCATTCATTGTTGCACTTTTCTCCCTGCCCACCCCTCCCCCCAGTTCACTCTTCCCTTTGAAAAGTAAAAGAAAAATTCTTCCAATGTTATACAATCGCTCCCTGCAAGTCTATTCCACTATGCTGCCTTCATTCTGGACTCCTGTCATGACGATAATACCTAATCATATATCCCTTTTAAACAATTCTCTCCCTTATCTGTTTCAGTGTAGTATACATAATTTATCCAATCTTTCTCAGTCTCCCCCCAACCTCGGTGTCAGTCCCGTTTTACAATAGTGGTACTATGCAGTATTTGTCTTTTTGTGACCGAGATATTTCACTCAGCATAATGTCCTTCAGGGTCACCCATTTTGTATATTATTTCATGGGTTCCTTGTTTTTCAATGCACTGTAGTATTCCGTTGTGTGAATATACCAGAGCTATCCATCCGTTTGTTGATGGGCACTTGGGTTGTTTCTAACTCTTTGCTATTGTGAACAATATTGTGGCTGCACTTCTTGCAAAACATTTGTTTTGTTCTTTTGCCATCTGTTGTAAATTCAATTATTTCTACCAGTACCACAAACCAAATGCATTGTTCTTGGTCTGTTTTATTCATTGTCCAGATTTTACCTGCACGTGACCATTCAAAAATTACTTGGCTTTGATCAAGTGCACTAGTGTCATTAAACCTTTATCTTTGCTCTTTAGCACTTTGAAGTGGCTACAGATTTGCCCAGTACACTACATTGATTTTATTTCACTGCTGCTTTTGTTGGTTATAGATCCAAGTAATATGAAATCCTTGGCAGCTTCAGTCTCTTTTTTCATTTATCGTGATACTGTTAACACTTATTATAAGATTTAACATGGGTATATCGTTACTTAATCTACAGTGTATGTTTTCTTAATGTTCTTAACTCAGCTGAACTCATTCAGAATCAACTAGATGGTCAGCCTCCTGGGTCATTTGCCTTCTTCAAACCTCCTGGGGTAGCAATGCTACACCCCCCAAAGTCTTAATATTCTTAATAGTTCCAATATTACTCTTTTAACTTTTACCCCAATACAGAATCCATTCTAGGATCATATATTGTATTTTACTGTCATATCTCTTTGTTACTGTAAATAATACTGTAGTGAACATGACTGTGTTAGTCTGTGTTGCACTCTTAGGTCTTTAGTCTATGTTCCTAAAAGTGAGATTGCTGAATCTAATGCTATTTCTGTTCCCAGCTTTCTAAGGAAGAACTAAACTACTTTCCACAGTGATTGCACCATTTTAAATTTCCACCTAGTAGAGTATAAGTGTTCCATTCTGTATGCCCTTGCCAGCATTTGTTGTTTGATGCTTTATTGTGCATTGCTATATTTGCTAGGTTGAACTGACTTTTCATTGTTTTAGTTTGCATTTCTCATACTGTGAGTCATAGTTGACTTGATGGCATCTAACAATAGTAACAACAATAAGAACACATGGCTAATGATTTTCAGCATTTCTTCATGTGTTTATTGACTATCTGAATGACATCTTTGGTGAAATGTCTTTTCAGGTCCTCTGCCTGTTTTTGTAATGGGATTGTTTTGTCCTTTTCTTAATGAATTATTGGCATTTCCTATTCATTTTACAGATGATTCCCATGCTAGATTCTTCATTGTCAAATATTTTTTCCAGTTTGTAGCTTCTCTCTCTCTCTTTCCCCCCCTTATTTGGAGAAGGCTTTTGATGTCCACAGGATTTAATTTTTAGGAAGTTCTAATCATCATGCTTTATCCTCTGTCAATTATACATTTTCTGTTATTTTTTCTGGTCTGTTTATGCCATAGATTAGGGCTTCTGTTTTTGCTCCAATTTTCCCTTTGATGAACTTGATAGTTTTAGGTTTTACACCTAAGTCCTGCCTGGATCCACCTTGACTTAGTTTTTGTATGCCTTTGTTTCCATTTTCTGCATAGAGATACTCTTGTTTTGCCAGTACCATTTGTTAAAGTAGCTAACTTGTTTCCACGTAATGGGTTTCATCTCTTTATCAGAGATGATTTGTCTGTAGGTAGACGGATTTATTTCTTGGTTCTCAATCCTATTTCGTTCCCCTAAGGATCTATAGTTGTACCAATCTGTTTTGTTTACTGTGGCTTTGAAGTATGTTTTGAGACTATTACATATAAAGGCCAGTTACATTAGGTATTGCCCCTTGATGTGGGTTTGCCTTGTGTTTCCTCACTACTGGGGCCAGGCCTTGCATTTTGGATAGCTATTTCTTAGAACTGATCATTCTTAGTGCATCATATTTGGGAGTTACATGATGTTGATTCCTTATTAGTGAATTAACTTTGATCACTTAATTAAGGTGTAATGTTACAGGTTTTTTTCTTCATTGTGACGTATGAGATTTGTACTTTAGTTTTCCTTCACTTTGTCATCTTTGTTTTTAATTGATTATTGACCTTTTGGTCTCATACTGATGGATTTTAAGTAGGTCATTGAACCTATGGGTAATATTCTTTGTGCTGCTCTGCTGTTTTCCTAAAATTTGCTGTTAGGATAGGCTTGGTTCTAGGTTTAAAGAGATTCATTCCACTGTTAACTATTTCAGCTTGTCATACTTTATTTAATTTTATTTTTAAAAAGATGTTTTGGTTCCCCATATTTCTGTCTCATTCTGTCTGAGACCAGTTCTTTTGACCCTTGTTACAACACTCAATTGGTAGCCAAACACCATTTGTTTTTCCAAATGGGTTCTCTTAATCTTTGTTGAAAATCAGCCATCCAAGGATGGCCAGGTTTCATTCTGAGTTTTCAGTTCTGTTCCATTGGTCTCAGTGTCTTATTTTTTTTAATTGTTGTCCTATTTTTATGCTAATTTATTTGCAGAATTCGAATACATTGTTTTTCAGGCCAGATTCTTCCAATTTCCCTCATCCCCACTAACCATCAGTGATTTTGTAAATTATTACCTAACTTGAAAGGAACTGGAGAGCAGTATGCTGAGTGAACTAAGTCAGTCCCACGGGACAAATATTATATAAAACCATTATTGTAGCATGATTATGAAGATCCAACGGGGGAGGTGGAAGCAGAGGGATGAGGATGTGCGGGGGAGAGGGGATTAATCATGGCGTCTCAGTGTTTACTATTGAACAATTACAGGCCGTTTTGATTACAGTTGTGATTGCATATTATGTTTTGAAATCAATGATTGCAAGATCTTCTGCTTCACTGTTTTGGTTCAATTTTGTTTTTACTATTTTAAGTTTCTTTCCTTTCTATATGAAGTTGGTCAATCGCTTTTCCATTTCAGTAGAGAATGTTTGTATTTCTGTTATGATTACAGGGAATCTGTAGTTGATTTAGGTAGAATTAATATTTTCACTGTATTGAGTCATTGTTGTTGTTTTTATGATGTGCCCTCGAGTCAGATCCAGCTGGTATAGGAGGAGACAGCCCATCCTTCTCCAGCAGAGCATCTGGTGGATTTGAACCACATGTCTTCAGGATTGCAGTGGATATGTTGGAGCTTACACAGTTGATGAATTCTTCTACTCTTATCAGTTTTCCTGTGGAATCTTTCGGGTCTTTCCTAAAGTGTATAGGATCATGTCATTGGTGGTGAATAGAGATAGTTTTACTTGTTCATTTCTGGTTAGTTGCCTTTTATTTATCTTTCTTATCATAGTGCTCTGGCAAGTACAGTGTTAGCTAAGAGTGGTAATAATAGTCATACTCACCTTGATCTCATTCTCAAAGGGATTAGGAAAAGCTCTCGGGCTTTCTCTACTGAATATATCATTGGCTTTTGGATTTGCATGTTGTTCTTAGGTGTCATCAAGTTGAGTCCAACTCATAGTGACCCTATGAACGGTAGACCTAAACCCTGTCCTGCCCTGTGCCATCCTCAATGTCTGCAACACACTTGAGCCCATTGTTGCAGTCAGTCCATCTCACTGAGGATTTTCTTCTCTTTCACTGACCCTCTAGATTTCCAAACTTGATCTCCCTTTCCAAGGAATACTTTCTTCTAGCAGGATGTACAAAGTATGAGAGAGAGAGCTTCGTCATCTTAACCTCCAGGGAACACTTGGGCTACATTTTTTCCAAGGCTTATTCTTTAGGCAGTCTATGGGATACTCCATGCACTTCTTCAGCCCCACAGCTCAAAGGCATCAATAATAATTCCTCTTATTATTATCTTATTCATTGTCCAGCCTTCAGAAACTAGCAGGTGATCGAAAAGGCCATGATCTGAATAAGGCACTCCTTAGCCTTCAAACTGACATCATTGCTCTTAAGGATTTTAGAGAGGTCACTGACAGCGTCTCTCCCAGTGCAATTCATTTCCTCATCTCCTGACTGCTAATACCATGCAAATTGATTGTTGATCCCGACAAGATGAAATAATTGACAACAACTTCAATTCTTTCTCCATATATCATGATATTGTCTGTTGACTCCCTGGTGAAGGCCTTCGTTTTCTTAAAATAGAATCCAAACTGGGTTATTTGCTTATGTGCCATTAACTGTGTTGAGATAAGTTCTCTACTCTTCCCCCCACCCCCACCCCAAGGTTTTATCAGAAAAGAGTGTTGACTTTTATCAGATGCCTTTTTTATATTACTTGGTGTGACTAATTCTGCTTTGTTTTATTTGTGGTGCATTACACAGATTGATTTTTTAATGTTGAGCCGCCCTTAAAATTCTAGTATAAATCCTAGTTGATCATCATTTATTATTTTTTTTTCTTCGATATGTTGCTGAAGACTGTTGGATAGAATTTAAATAGTACTCTTGCATTGCCACTCTCTCCCTTTACCCCTCCTCATTGTGTAGCCTGAGGAATCTCAGGGCCATTTAGTTAGATCACAGATGAACTGTGTTTTGAGTTTGGGGTTTTACGTAGCCCCATCCCAAATCGTTGTGAACAAAGGTTTCTGAGGCTAGCAGGTAGGTTCTGCCAGCTCTGCCTCACCCAGTCCTTAACTTCCCTGTTCGGACTCTCCTTTTTTTGTACTGTAACTGCTGACCACAGTTCTGAGATCTCAGTCTGTGCTTTTTATTTCTCCCATCACTCAGTGAACTGATTGCTGGAGGAGTAAAGGGAACTTCTTCTCATATTGTTCTCTTGCTTTTCTCCTAGTCCTGTATCATTTTTGTATGTTGTATTTTGAATCCTTCCTTTTTGGTTGAGCAAGACACTAACAAGCTCATCTTGCATTTTCCCTGCCTTGGCCTTAACCACTATGACCAGCTTATTATAAACTCTTTCCCCAGCAAAACCTGGCTTCTTTTTGACAGGTCTGATACTAGTTATGCTCATTACTGCTAGTGTCTTACTGCTTCTGATTCCTCAGCCTTTATATCTGTACATTTATTTTTCTGTGCTGATCAAGAGGAAGAGAAAATACACATATCTCCTGAGTTCAAATGATGTTTCCAGTTATGATCTAACATTAAAGGGTATATTTTATAGTCTTTCCTCTGTGTGTATTTGTGATTTCTTCGGTAGCATAAACACATAGCCACTGTATCATTACACTTAATTTTTCAAGCTTAGAATGTTATGCAAGTATTTTCAGAATTACTGTCCCATACCACCCTGAAATGAAGACATACTCTTGGAGTTGGTGTTTTTGTTTTGGTTTTTTTTTTTTTTCAGTTCTCTAAAAAATACCTTCATATGACTTCCTAGTGAGTTCCTCCCTGTTCTATTCACTTGGCTGATTTTTTTTTACACTAAATCTTTCTTAAAATAATTCTATTATATCTCTGAATTTTCTCATTTTTTAAAAATAATTATTGTGGTAAATTACATTGATTGACTGTAACAGTGGGCTTAAGTATATCAGAAATGAGGGGGTTGGCACAAGATCTGCTCTTCATAGAGTCACTGTGAATCATGGTCAACCCGACAGCACCTAACAGCAACAATACAGGACAAAACATTTTCCACTTAGACCATGTTTACATCGTAGTTCAGTGCCACTGTGTTCACCAGGTTGTGCGACCATCACCACTTTCTGGTTGCAGTTTTTGCCATTCATTTAGTACGTCTTAAGCAGTAACTACCCATGCTCCTTCCTTCTCACCTGTGGACACCATTGATAAACTTCAGTGTCTTTGCATTCTAGGTATTTCAGGGAGCTCTGGTAGCATGTTCTGTATGGAGTTAGTTATGCTGCTAACCAGAAGGTGGTGGTTTGAGTCCACCAGGGGCTTTGAGGGAGAAAGTTGAACCATCTTTTCTTGTGCAGTTTAAAACCTCTTAAAATATGCTGAAAGGTCGGCTTGAGTCAGAATTGACAACAATATTGAAGGGTATGTTGTGTTGGGATAGGGGTCGGGAGAGAAGATATTTCCTATACATCCATCATAGTATATTTATTCTTTTTACATCTAGACATATCCTTTTGAGAACATTTCATCATGTCTTTGTAAAAGAAGTGTACTCTAAAATCACATAGCTGTAATATCATTATCATGCCTAAAACATTTTTCCTAAATCATTGTTGAAATTTTTAATCATCTATGAATGTCAGTGCAAATGTAATAACTTTAAAATAATTTCAGTTAATAGTTTATGGTAATTAAAATTACTGTTTTCAGGTTCATGACAATAAAAAGTTAAAAGTAAATGCTGTTATTGCTCCCAAGAACTCATATGCAGACAAAGCACCTTCCAGATCCCTGAATGAACTAAAGTAAGTACTGAAAATATTATTAGAAATAACCTCTTGCTTATTAGTTGTTTGCCTCTTAAATACATTTTTATTGTCCTTTGTTATGTGCCTTTGAGTCAGAATCAACTTATGGCTGGCTCCAGCTTGTTTGCAGTCTATAAATCAGGTCAGAGGATATTGCTTATGTTTTTCACTTGGAGCAGCTGGTGGATTTGAACCACCTACCTTTGTGTTGGCCCTTTGTATCACACAGGTAATTTTTATAATAGGCTGTGTTATATGCATACCTTATTTTGTTGTACTTTGCAGATACTGAGTATTTCACAGTTCATGGTTTGTAGTGACCCTCATTCAGACATATCTCTTGACATCCAATAGCATGTGCTCACTTTGTGTCTTTTTGTCATTTTGTGGTAATTATCACTGTATTTCAGACTTATTCTTAGTGATATTGTACATTAAATAAACTGCTCAAAAAACACCCACAAATTATTGCCTTCCAATTGGAACCAACAGAGAATTTTCAGAGGCTTTGAATGTCATCGGAACAGATTGCCCATCTTTCATGCACCTTGTTATTAGTGGATTGAAACAGCCAGAGACACACCACCTTTGAGTTAACAGCACAGCACTATGAACCACCCCATCAGAGCTCCCAAAATAGACGAGGGTGCAGTATAACCTCACGTTTATGTGTAGTAGAATTTGTTTGACTCGCTTTACTATCATATCTATCATATTTGCTTTATTTTTATGGTTTGGAATTAGACCTGCACCATTTCTGAGGTTACATAGGATTTCTGTCGAAGTCTAAATATGAAAACCACTAGGCACAGAACAAATAGTGATGCTTAGAGTGTGTAATGATGATGTTATCTATCGCTTGAGCAATATGAACGATTAACAGAAATATGGAAAGAGTTGGTTAGCTAATGGGAATGATGATAAAGCATCACTGCATAATGCAGAAGTAATTTCCAGAGAGTTAAGTGCCAATTTAGCTATAAGTAAATAATTCTGAATATAAGTAGACATTCTAAAACTAAAGGCAATAGAAGAAACAACGGAAGAACAGATTAATAGTTTATGCTCATAAAAACCATGACATTTTCAGCCCCAATCACTGAGCCGCCGCTGAGGACTCAGCTGCCTCCCCCTCGAGCCCCCTCGCTTCCTGATGCTCCGTCTCCCCACCCGCCTTCTCCCGCCACTGCCTTCCGCAGGCCGTTTTCCACCGAGAAAAATGAATCATACCGTATGTCCGCTATCCAGAACCTCCACTCTTTCGACCCCTTTGCTGATGCAAGTAAGGGTGATGACCTGCTTCCTGCTGGGACTGAGGATTATATCAATATAAGAATTCAACAGAGAAACGGCAGGAAGACCCTTACAACTGTCCAAGGGATCGCTGATGATTACGATAAAAAGAAACTAGTGAAGGCGTTTAAGAAGAAGTTTGCCTGCAATGGTACTGTAATTGAGCATCCAGAATATGGAGAAGTAATTCAGCTAGAGGGTGACCAGTGCAAGAACATATGCCAGTTCCTTGTAGAGATTGGACTGGCTAAGGACGACCAGCTGAAGGTCATGGGTTTTAAGTGCTGTGGCTCACTGAAGCTTAAGTGAGGATTTCCTTGCAATGAGTAGAAAATTTCCCTTCTGTCCCTTGTCACAACTTTCAGACTTTACAGCTTATATAACGTAACCATTTGGGGTCTACTTTTAACTTGGACTAGTGTAACATTTTCATACAATAAACTGAAAAGAGCCATAAAAGAAAAACCATGACATTTTCTAACATGGAAGTGATCAATATTAAGTGATTTTTAATATTAAAAAATGAAAAAGACTTTACTGTTTTTAAACAATATGTATTTATTTCTTATTTTCTAGCCACTTTGCAATCGGTAAATTTTTAAAATAATTATCTTGAGTAAAATCTAACTGGTACTTTTTCCTCTCAGACAATATGGATTTTTCTCTTATTTGCGAGAGTTATTTGATGCTCCCGATCCTGTGATGAGTTACCTTTGCTCCCAGTATCATATTCATGAAGTTCCCGTAGGAACTGAAAGGACTAGAGAACGAATTGAACGGGTAAGATGCTACTGAATTATTACCACAAATAGAGCAATGTTAAAACCTTTTAGTTTAAAATCAAGCAGAAATGTCTGAAATTTAAGTGTGATATTACAGGGGGTTTTTCCTCCCATGTACAAATTATGTTTTACATTTTTAATCTGATATAAAACAATGACTGTTGACTAATCCTGTATGACAACAACGTAAAATTAGCTAGAGTAAATAAATACTTAATAACTTCAGATTAGCTGAATATGATTAGATCCTAAAAAAGAGGCACTTGACATTCTGTCTTGCTTTACAGACTTATATGCATACCTTTCTAATGGTTTGTTGTCGTTGTGTGCCATTGAGTTGAACCCGAATCATAGCTGACTCTCCCACAGGTTTTAAGAGGCAGAAATCAGTGGGAGGAGATTGCCCATCCTTCTCCTGTGGAGGAGCTGGTGCATTCAGACTGTGTAGGAGTACAGTGCAGTTTCTTATCAATAGCCCACCAGAACTCACTAATGGAGCTAAGAGTTTAGCCATTTTAAATATTTAAATTCTAGATTATCCTTCTAATTTTACTTTAGAATGGATTAACTAGAGTGTAAGTCTGTTCTTGTAAGCCCTCTTCTGAAAAGTTCCACTTAAAATTATCTCATGTTAAGATTTTCTCATGTACCTCATCTAGTCTTTCCTTTTATTCTGCTTTATTCGTTGTTTCCAGATGCCAGTTTATACTGTTAAGGAAAGCATACTTAAATAAGTTTTCTGTCTTAGACTATTAAACCTCTGGAAGGAAATGAGTAAGAAAGAGTAACATTGGCTATGAAACTTCAGAAATTGGAAGAAGCTTCAACACACAGCCTACTGTTCTTTATAAATATACTTAAATTAATAAAGTGATTTTAATGGTTTAGAATGTAGATTATGTTTTAAATTTCACTGAAGTTACTTAGGGGGAAAATTTCAGGAGAAAAAGGAAATCTGAAATTTGGAATTTGAAATTAATTTAAAATATTCTCTTTTTCCCCACAAGTGTTCTCTCGTATGTATGGTAGTGAAATATAAAATCATGTCTCTTGGCTAGTAGAACTGAAGTGGCTTGCTCAGGGTAGCACAGTTGAATCTGTGTTAGGATATGAACATAGAGCTCTTGGTTATTTCTTGGTTAGTTGTTAGTAAAATTCCAAAAAGTACATCTGTTTGAGAAAGATGATGTGGTAAAATAGAGGCAGAGCAAACTTTTCTAGTTGCTTTGTCATCCTAATTTTCTCTTTACTTATAATTGTGTCCAAAATAATAACCTGAAATGTATGGGCTACTGTGTTAGTGTTGTTGTATAGGTATTACTAAGACAACAAAAAAATCACTCACCATGTATATCTAGTACATCTTATTCTTCCAGAATTCACTTGATCTGTGTTGTGTGTTTCTGTTAAAAATTCTTTCCTCTTTTAAAATAGAAATCACTATTGAATATGCATTGACATTACTCTTTTCACTGTAGGTAATAAAAGAAACTCGGTTAAGACAAATTTATACAGCAGAAGAAAAATACGTGGTGAAAACTTCTTTTTATTCAAATAAACTTATTTCTAGTAACACATCCTTGAAAGTAGCGCAGTTTCTCACAGTCACTGTGGATCTGGAGCAACGAAGACACTTAGAAGAACAACTGAAGGTTGGTTATTTGGTTATTTTACGTTTGGAGTTAATTATCAATTGGATAATCAAACAATAAATTAAAATAATATTGGCTGAGTTTATAATATTTTAACTGGAGCTTGTTTTAATAAATCTAACCATTTGAGTCGTTCCTAGGAAGTTCATAGAAAATTGCAAGCAGTGGACTCAGGTTTGACTGCCTTACGTGAGACAAACAAGCATCTAGAACTCAAAGATAATGAACTTAGACAGAAGAAGAAGGAGCTTCTTGAAAGGAAAACCAAGAAACGACAACTGGAGCAGAAAATCAGTTCCAAGCTTGGAAGGTATCTTTCAGCCTTTTTGGGGAAGAACGTAAAATGTTGTGTGAGGATAATACTCATTACCCCTTGGATAACACAGATACTCAGTTCCCACACCATGTTTTTAATAATTACTTTCTTAGAGTTTATCCCTATTAGAAGCCCCAAGGGAAATAGAGCCTTAAGTGCTGTGAGGCTTTTGTATCCTAGACCAGTTAATATGATTCACAGACGACTTTATGTGGTTAAAAGTGTTTGAGAATCCTGATAATTTGTTTATATGGGTTATATCTGTTGATACTTAGTAGTTTAAAATCATAATAAACTCAGGAATATATTGTTGTTGTTACGTGCCATTGAGTCACTGAACTCATAGTGGTGTGCCAATCATATTGTCTCTGACATACCTATCCCCATTACCCCAGTTACTCAATCGATCCATCCTCTCTTGTTCTGTCCCTCCACCCTCCCAAACATGATGTCCCTCTCCAGGGACTGGTCCCTCCTTGTAACATGTCCAGAGTATGTCAGATGAAGCTTCAGAATCCTTGTCTCCAAGAAGCAGCTCGGTTTCACCCTCTCCAAGATGAACCTGTTTGTTCTCCTAGCAGTCTGTGTTATATTCAACACTCGTCTCTAGCACCACGCTCAAAGGCATCAGTTCTCTTTCTGTCATCCCTAGTCATTGTCCAGCTCTCTGACCTATAGCAAGCAATTGCAAAGACTATGGCCTGGATCTGGCACACCTTAGTCTCCAGACTGACATCGTTGCTCTTCAGTAATATGGAGAGGTCTCTGACAGCTGACTTTCCCAATGCAATTCATCTCTTGATTTCCTGGCTGCTGGTACCAAGAGTGTTGATTGTGGAGCCAAATAAACTAAAACTGTTAACAATCTTAATCCCTTCACCATCCATAATGATGCTGCCAATTGGCCCAGAGGTGACAGTCTTTGTATTCTTGATGTTGAGCTTCAATCCCTATTGAAGGTTGTGGTCCTTGACCTTCTGCAGCAAGCGCTTCAGGACCTTCTCAGTTTCAGCTAGCAGGGTTGTGTCCTCTGCATATTGCAGGTTGTTGATGAATCTTCCTCCACTCCTGATGCCATATTCCTACTTATACAGCTCAGCATCCCATATGATCTGTTCTGCATACAGATAGAAAAGGTATGGAGACAGAATACATCCCTGGCAGACACCATTCCAATTTTGAACAATGCAGTATCACAGAAAAATTTCATGAAACAGCATATGAGCTGAGCCTGTGGTGATGAAGGAAGAAGTTGAAGCTATTCTAAAAGAATTGGCAAAAAAACCAAGACTCCAGGAATTGACAGCATACCAGTTGACATATTTCAACAAACAGATGCTGCCCTGGATGTGCTCGTTAAGTTTTTTGCCAAGAAATCTGGAGGATAGCCACCTGGCCAACTGGCTGGAAGAGATAGCTATTGTTCCCATTCCAAAGAAAGATAACCTGACAGAGTGTGGAAATTATCCAACAATGTCAATATCACATGCAGGTAAGATTCTGCTGAAAATTATCCAAAAACAACTGGAGCAACATGTAAACAGAGAACTGCCAGATGTGCAGGCTGGGTTTAGAAAAGGTCGTGGTACTAGAGATAATATAGCTATATCTTGGCTGAAAGCAGAGAGTACCAGAGGAATGTCTCTCTGTGTTTCATTGACTATGCAGAGGCTTTTAACGGTGTGGATCACAGCAAACTGGCTGACTTTGAGAAGAATGGGAATCTCAGAACATTTGATTGTGCTTATTCGAAATCTATACTTGAACCAAGAGACTATCGTCAGAACAGTGGAAGAAGACACTGAATGGTTCAGGACATATTACCAAATTTTTAATGAAAAATAGTATATCTAGAATAAACATTAAGAAAAGTGACATTATTTTACATGTCTGCAAATTTAAAACCTGGTTTAATTAAACATAGTGCTTTTAAACTACTACTGCTTTTAGTCTTCTGTGATAGTTTTGATTGAAGTATATGAAGAAAATCTGACCTCACACAACTATGTAATATGAAGTCTAGCTTCAAAGAATTGTTCAACTTTAAATAAACTCTTTGAAATCTTTTTAGATGGCCTTCGTTTTTATTTCTGGTTATCCTCAAGACACTTATTATCCTTAAGGTCTTTATTGTTACTTGATTGAATCAGTTGTCTAACAGATGGCGTTTTCTTCTCAAATTTTCTTGCCAATTTATACCTTTTTATTTTCATATGATTTTATAATTCTTCTAGGCTTCCAGTTATATGCTTGGACTTGTCAGCTTTTTGCTTTTCTTCATCCCTGTACTCATTGGTTTGTGAAGTGTTATTGATGTTTGCGTTGAAATGACCTTTTATATCCATTACCATCCTCATAACCTTCAATCTTACATTTTCATTTATTTTAGAATATCGCAGTGGTGACCTGTTTAATCTCTATTTAACTAGTCTCATCCAGAATACAGTATAAACTTAGTAGTTTATCCTCTTCTTGCCTTCCAACTCTGTTAAGGAAGACCATCTATTGTGTGACTTCTACCATTAGTACATGACAATTAATTAAACACTGTTCTCCCTTAAACCGAGGATTCTGGAGACATAGTGTGCTACAAGTTGACTGCTAACGGAAAGTGTGACAGTTCGACTCCACTAGGGAGACAGGTGAACAGTCTCCTGCTTGCAGCCTCATAAACCCAGTGGAGGGGTGACAGTTAGTAGGGGTTGATTTTTCACTTTGGTTTTTCAAGGTCTTGTTTAGCACTGTCCAGTTTATTTCCTGGATTTATTTTCATCAACTCACTATGCTATGTTTTACTCAGTTCCCTTTATAACATCCAGCTCTGTTTGCACAACAGCCTCTCAGTCTAGGTATTAGGTTTTGCATGAGCTCACTTGTTTGTTCTTTTTTTGCTTCCCCTCCTCTGTCCTTGCTTTCCCCCCAAAGGCAGCGTGGCGTGGTGAAAAGATCATGAACTTAATATTTGTGATCTTTGGTAACTGCCTTAACTTCTCTGAGCCTTCATTTCTTCATGTATAAAAGAGAAAGAGTAATATTAACTTTTAGAGTTGTGTTATCTTTTCATTCTTTTCTTTTTTAACCTGTTGATTGAATCTCCTCAGTTGAAGGCAAGGTCTGTGTTCATACTAAGTGGTATCATTAACAAATATTTACCAATTTGGTATGACCTAGACACTGTTCTAAGTGTGCTACTTACATTACCTTTTGTCATTTTCATCATGGCCCTATGATGGTGAGTACTATTATTATAATTTATTGATGAGAAAACACAAGCTCTAAAACATAACTTATCCAAAACACACTGCTTGTTAGTGGCGTAGAGAGTTCAAATCCGTTTCTCCTATTTAATATCCTACACTGTTGTTGAGTACCATCGAGTCAGAACTGACTATAGCTGGCAAAACCCAGCAAAGTTTCAGAGGCAGTAAATCCCATAGGAGGAGACTTGAACAACCTGCTTGTGGGTTGGCAGAGCAACTCCTTACTCACTGGACTAATAGAGCTCTGGTGACTTAATGGGAAGAAACTACACTACTGTCCCATCGGAACATGATTCAAATCCACTAGCTACCCCATGGGAGAAAGATGGGCAGTGTCCTCTCATATACCTTTGAAAACCTACAGACTATCAGCTACAAGTCTGTTCTGAGTCAATTCTGATGTTAGATGATTCCTGGCAAAAAGTAAAGACTACCAGAAGAATGTCTGTTTGTACTTTATTAACTGTGTGTACCATCGCCATTTATGGCTAATATTCAGAAGAATGGTGATCCCAGAACATATAATTGTACTCATGCAAAACCTAATACCTAGACTGAGAGGCTGTTGTGCAAACAGAGCAAGGGAGCATTTCATGGTTCAAAAATAAGAAAATAATGTTTTAGGGATCTGTCCTTTCTCCGTACCTATTCATTCTGTATACTGAGCACATGATTTAAGGAACCAGACTCTGTGAGGAAGAATATGGCATTAGGATTGGAGAAAGACTCTTAATAACCTTGTTTGCTGAAGGTGAGAAGTATCTAAGGTACTTGCTGCAGAAGATCAAGGATCAAAATGTGTATTATATCTCGGTATCAAGAAACAAAGGTCCTCACCACAGAACCAACAGTAAGCATTATGATAGATGGAGAAAGGATTAAAGCTGTCAATGATTTCATCTTCCTTTGGTACCAGCAGTCAGGAAATCAGGAGACATTGCACCGGGCAAGTCCACTGTTAGAGAGCTCTCCAGAATACTGAAGAACAGTGATGTCAGTTTGAAGACTAAAGTGTGCCTAATTCAGGCCATGATTTTCTCAATCACCTGCTGCACACTAGAGAGCTAGGACAGTGAATAAGAATGACAGAAGAAGTCATGCGTTCGAGTTGTGGTGCTAGAGAAGAATACTCAATTTCCTGTGTACTGCCAAGAGAACAAACAGATAAATCTTGGAGAGGGTGCAGCCTAAGGGATCCTTGGAGGCAAAGATGGTGAAGCTTCATCCTCCATATTTTGGACATGTAGTTAGACGAGGCTGTTCTTTGGAGAGGAACATCAGTTTTTGGAAAGGTGAGAGATTAGCGAAGGAGAGGAAGACCCCCGATGAAATGGATTGACACAATGACTTCAGCAATGGGCTTGAGTGTTTCAGAGATGTTGAGGATGCCACAGGACAGGACAGGGTTCAGGTTGGCTCATCATAAGGTTGCTGAGTCATACTCGAGGTTACCTAACAGCTCACTTAGCATTCATGTTATCTAGACTCTTCTAGGCACTCAGTGTATCTCACAACCTGTGTTATACAGATGACACAACCTTGCTTGCTGAAACTGAGGGGGACCTGAAGCGCTTGCTGCAGAAAGCCAAGGACTTCTGCCTTCAATATGGATTGAAGCTCCACATCAAGAAAACAAAGGTCTCACCACTGGGCTGATAAGCCACACATCGTGATAGGTAGTGGAGAAGTTGAACTTAACAGCTTCAACTTGGTTGGCTCTACAGTCAACACTCTTGGTACCAGCAGCCAGGAAATCAAAAGACAATTGCATTGGGAAAGTTTGCTGTCAGGAAACTCTCCAAAGTACTGAAGAGCAATGAAGTCAATCTGGAGACTAAGGTGCATCTGATCCAGGCCATGGGGTTTTGGGGTTTTTTTCCCAGTTAATTGCTTTCTGTGCATCAGAAAGCTGGACAGTGACTAGGGATGATAGGAGAATTGATGTTTTTGCGCTGTGGTGCCACAGAAGAGTATTCAATGTGCCATGGACTGCTAGGATGATAAGCAGGTTTATATAGGAGAGGTTGGAACCAGGTTGCTGCTTGGAGGTAAGGATTTTGAAGCTCCATCTGACATACTTTAGGCATGTTGCAAGGAGGGACCAGTCCCTGGGGAGGGACATCATGCTTGAGAGGATGGAGGGTGGTGTGTCAGAGGTGATAAGATTGGCTCAGGATAGGGCAGGCTTCAGTGCTGTTATACATAGGGTTTCTCTGAGTCTCAGACAACTTGACGGCACATAACAACAATGACGGAACTGGCATTTGTACTGCATTATTCAATTGCTTATAAAACTGCGGACTTTGGCCCAGTCCTTGTGTTTTACTGACTTCTGCATCATCTTGTGTTCCCTACAGTTTAAAATTGATGGAGCAGGATACTTGCAACCTTGAGGAGGAAGAGCGAAAAGCAAATGCCAAAATCAAAGAAATCAATATCCAGAAAGCAAAGCTTGTTACTGAATTGACAAACCTTGTAAAGGTAAAGCAGTTTAAATTATTTATCCATACATTAAATAGACAGTAAATTAGGCAAGCTGGTAAAATCTGTACAGAGGTTTGTTGGAACCAGAAGGAATGTTCTTGAGTAAGGCTTTTGACATTTTATTGATATAAACAAGGAAATTTTATGAACAACAGCTTGCTTTATTTCTTGACATATGCTTTAGGTTAATCGTTAAAATCACTCATTAAGCTAAATTATTTCCTTTGAGATGATTCTGCCTGCATAAGAAAACCTAAGCCAAAACCCAAACCCCCTGCCATCAACTCGTAGTGACCCTGCAGGGCAGAATAAAACTGTCCTTTAGGGTTTCTGAGCCAGTAAATCATTATAGGAACACATTTCCCCATCTTTTTGCCGTGGAAAGCTTGTGGATTAGTAGCCAAGTCCTTACCACAACCCAGGCTCCTGGAGAACTCTTTTATAAAAGGAGCTAAGAATCAATCAGTCACATTAGAAAAACTTATTTTCTCATGGATCAGAGTTTTGTGAAAAAGTTAACATTTTCTTATTTCCAAAAACATGTGGCATAAAAACTATAAACTTTTGCATTTTTGTCCCTAGGTTTGTGCTGCTTTACACATGCAAAAAGTGGATTTAATTCTCCAAATTACCACGGTTATCTCTGAGAAGAACAAATTAGAATCTGATCATTCAGCTGCCTCTTCACAAATACGTGTCACAGAGGTAAGATTTTTGTCTTTATTTTGAGATTCTAATCTCAACCCAACTTGAAAAAAAAATGTGTCATCAGTTGCAATGAGCAGTTTGCTGTATGCTACTTAATACACAAATGTAATGCCTCATACTGATAAGGAAACAATAGCAGTTCAAGGAACTGCTTTCTTTTTTTTTTTTTTATTTTTTTAAATTTTAATAATTTTAATGAATATTTACAGAGATTTTCATTGCTGTACTTCTCTCCCGCCCCAGTTCGCGCCTCTCTTTGAAAAGTAAAAGAAAAACTCCCTCCCTGGTACACAATCCCCCCGCACCCTTTCCACTGCCCCAAGTACATTCCACTATGCAACCTTAGGGGAACTGCTTTCTACTATGCATTTTGTCATTACCAAGTAGCAGCTAGTAGCTTTAATTATCCTTTGCACATCCATCCTATAATGTAAATTGCAGATGAATTCTAATTAACAACTTTTAAGATTAGCCTTCGTATGTAACTTTGATGATTTAATCTTCTGTAAATAATGTATTTGGGAAATGATGCACAACATTGAAAACTTGGAGAAATGAGAATGGACGATGTTAGAGTTAAGAGCTGGCAACAAAATGGTAGTGACAGTGGCATAGTTTTTTCAGGTTTCTTTTCCACTCATACACTTTCTCCGCAAATAGGATAATAGAACCATCCCATAACAACAATAAAATCTTGGACAACATACATAACAAAACTTCATTTTCATTAATGTAGATAGAGCATTATGTATATTTTTCAACAAAATTATGAACATACATAATTTCACTTAACATTACATATAAATTGTTGAAATGGACAGTAATTTGTTACCTATATATTTGCCACAATTAAATAAATTTAAAAAAATATTTACAAAATAGCAGTTAAAGAGACATAAAACCAAAAACCTTAAGCTTCGGGGTTTCTTTGTGAACTCCAAACTGATTAAAGTCAAATCCTCACCAGTTTTAAGATCAGCATTATATCAGTAACTCTGGCCAGAAACAGTGGGAAGAGTTTCAGGACCCTGAAACTGAATTACCAGAGCACACTCCCCTCTAAAGAGAGGAGATCTTGTTAGGAAAATATTGCAGACCAACTGGAGAACAGGTGAAAAAAGTCTCTTACTGAGCAAAACTAAAAGTACGTGATTGATAAAAAAAAAAGTAAAATATATACTATCAGTACGTATAAAGCATAACTCTATGAAAATGGGAACTATTATAAAATAGAATATACTTGTTAATTATCCTATAGCTAAAGTCAGAAAACAGAAGGATAGTACATCAAACTAGATGCTTTGGGGAAGTTAAAAAAAGAGAACTGTTACTAGCCAGCTTGCGCTGAAGTACATACAGAAACAATAAATAATATTGTAAAACGGTATTGAAAACATAAGAATAATCATTAGAATAAAGACAAAACTTTACCATTTACCTGACGATATACAAAGAAACTGAAAAAACCTACCCTCTTTGCCATTAAGTCAGAACCAACTTATACCTGACCCTCCAGTAGATTTTTAGAAGTTAGAAATCTCACTGAGGAAATTGCCCATCCTTGTCTCACAAAAGAGTGGTGATAATAAAACAGATGATTCAGTTAAGATTGAGGCCAAGGCAGTAACTTACATCACTTTAGATGGACTATCTAGACATTTCAGCGATGTAACCTTCTCAGGTGTTTGTTGGGTAAATTTACTATAAATGTCTTCGCACTAAGTTTAGAGTCACTGATAGCACTTCCTTACTTGGTCTAAACAGCACACTGTCATCAGTGTAATGGGCCATCAGGGCTTCTTGTGGAAGGGAAAGGTGGTCAAAGTCTTGTGGACTAACTTGTGTCATGGTGCTGAGGATTTGATACATCTTCAAGGTAGGTGGTGAAGATGTATTTCTAGAGGCAAATTTCTTCTGAGGATCCTTGGTAACTGGATTGAGGAAAAAAGGCTGTGGCCAGACAGTGCCTTCATGCTAGACACCAAGATACGCATTCGTTTGTTCAAGCAATACAGCCACATGTAGAAAGGCAGTTGAAGTCACCCGCTACGTGGTTACGTTCATAATAATCCATTATCATTCCTTATAATCTGCTTGGCTTTTCCTGCCAGAACTCCGTGTTTTAATGGATCCATTGTGGGGTCTGTCAGTGGCTGAGTATGTCTATTCTAGTAAAGCATTCTGGAACTGGGGAATTACCACATTAGAATCTTCGTGCCCCTGTGAGATGGACCCGAGCTAAGACTCCATTCAATAACCTGACCTCCATGTACCCCTACTTTGGCTGGGAATAAAAACCTTGAGATCTTATGGTAAGGGTGGGGAAAATAATTTCCTGTCTCTTGTCTACTCAGAAGACTCAATTGTGGTCACTGAATTCCATTTCCCACTCAAGTATCTCCTTGGAGAAATGACTGGATTACAGGTCTGGGTAACGAAATATACAGTGAAGTCCTTGATAGCTAGAACTAGGTTTACTTTTTGGGTTTGTGATTTTGGTTTTCTTCAGTTTTCACAAGCCTTCCACCTTTGCAGTATAATTTTACCACTTTTTTATTGTTCTTTATTTCTGTGAACTCTTACCATTTTCTTTCTCTGATAACTTTGCAACTTAATACAAGTTTCCACTTCCTCATGGTTTTTTTTATAAGATCATTTTATCACAGCAGAAAACACAGAATTTAGCAAATTTGGTTATTATCAGAATTTGGGAGCCAACGTGGAGAACCTTCTCTACTGCCAGTAATGAGTCAGTTGTGGACTGAAGCTCATCAGAAAGATCCAAGTCCATGAATTCTTAATGATAACTAAAGAAAAGTATATGTGAGTCAGTGTCTTGTGAACAATGTCAGGGAATCAACTCATGCTTTTGAAAATCTGGCAGATAATTCTACCATTTATCCTTTGTGAACTCTTAATAAGGGTAAACAAATATGAGGGTAAATTTCTCTTTATAGAGAAGTACTTCGGTTAATGAAGAAGGAATGGTAATGGTACAGCTACAGTTAGATTATCACTACATTGCAACTACTAATGAATCAATGAGTAGATTGTATTAGTTGCTTAAACTGCAGAAGACAGCTAGTTATGTCCATGTGATCTGATGGATGGATATAAGTGAACTCTGGTGACCTAGTCTGTAGGGAGTTGTACTGCTGACCCCAAGCTGGCGCCTCTCAGGCCAGTCAAATCCACTAGAGGCTCCTCACGGAAAGATAGGCAGTCTCTTCCTGATTAATTTACAACCTCTTGAAAACATACTGGAGGATTATCTGTGAATCACTTCTGACTCTGCTGTAGTGAGAGAAAATGGATGGATGGATACACCTGTAAAATATTTTACTAAAAATTTTATTTCTAATTAAGCCTCATACTACAGGTTTTCTTAGCTTAGCAGTACTGACATGTTGAACTGGATAATTCTATTTATGAAGGCCTCCCCTGTCCTGTATACTGTAGAATGTTTAGCAGCTTCTTCTGTCTGGAAATGTGGCATTCTCAGACAAAGACATTACAAGAAAGGAGACTGCACAATCAATATCTCATGATCATAATAAAATATAATTAGACAATGGTAGCTATTCCATCCTCACCGGGTGAATTTTCCTCATTTTCACTACACAGTTTGAAGACAATAGTCTAGAAACAGCTCTACTGATGTGATTAGCCCAGCTAGACTTACTTGAATGAATCTTTGAGATTTCATCTGGGACATTGTGTAAGGAGTAGTTACCTTACAAGAAGATGTTGTTGAATGTATGCAGGAACCATCACCACTATACCCATTTTTGTTTCTAGATCTGTAACTAGAGTTCAATTCCAGTAACTCTTCAAAAGCTGAAGCCCAAATTATAATCTAAAAGCTGGAGATGATCTTAATGCCCACCAGCGAGTGAATGGATAAACAACTTGTGATATATCCATAAAGATGAATACCACTCAATAGGGGGAAATGGGAGGTTGGAATTAAATACTGATAGATGCAACAACATGAATGAACCTCAGTAATTATCTGGAATGTAAAATGTCAGAAAAAAATCCCACATACATTATATGATTTGATTTGTATAAAATTCTAAACAATACAGGAAGCTCTGGTGGCCTAGTAGAAAGAAGCTGTGCTGAGAGTGTGTTGGACTCAGAAAAGAAAATTTGCTGCCAAGGGAAGGTACAGTTCAGTAGATTCCAGACAGTCACAGAGAACCTATAGAAGATAATAGATAGGTTCCTTATCTTGATTGTGGTGATGGTTTCATAAATGTATATATTTGTCAAAATTCATAATATTATATACTTGAAAATTATAGTGTCTTTTTTTCAATTCAAGTATGAAATGCTAAACACATGTTAGATGAAAAAATAGCATAACTCTAGGACCCACTACTTAAATATAACAAACATTGACATTTTGCAATACTTACTGCAAATTTTAACTTTTTACGTATATCAGGGGCCCTCTTTCTACTCAGTAACCTGCTTCTTCAAACTTTCTGACTTCCTCAGAAAGCATCTGGCTTACTGCTAGAAGACAAGAATGTAACTAACAGATAAGTAACTTGGAGCATCCACACGCAAACTTGGACCTAAAGTAATTTTGATTTGGTAGAATTGGTTATTTCACATTGAGCCAAAGGCCCTTGGGGAGGGGGAAGGTAAAAAAAAGAGAGAGGGAGAGAAAAGCAGCAGAGGTCATCTGGACATGTAGAAGAGAAGAAATCCAACAGGACCCAACCAGAGGCTGAGTCTGGTGGGTGTAGATCTAGCTACTAAAGGAAAATTTCATGAGTTTATTTCATGAAGGTGTGGTTCTGTTAGTAAATAATGTAGAGATTGTGCTAAAGTTACCCCATTGATCAAGCCTGTCAGTTGGTGTTAAAGAAGGTTTCATGAGGAACTTGATCCATTGTATAGGTCCTGTAATGGAGATTTAAGTCTAGTCACACAGTGACTAGATCCTGTTTGATCCTGTTATTTTGAAATTGAACATTTTGGGGAAC